CAATAATTAATCAAATATTTTAAGATTATAATATTTTCATTAAAGTGACTTCCCAAGGTGTGCAAGTTAGTTTAAAGGTGTGCAAGTTCAGGTATAGTTCATTTATAATTTTTTTATTAAAAAAATAGAATCATGAATTTTTTGAAATTTTGAAAAAAAAAGATTATTTTTAGTTTAATTATTAATTATAATTTTGAAGTTATTACTAAACTATACTTTAACTTGCACACCTTGTGACGTTGCAATTTTTAACTTTCACACTTCGAATACAATTAATTAAGCAACAATTTCGGGAAAGCGACCCAATGTAAATTATCGAAGGACCAGTTCTGGACAACAGTGCACATCGATTTGAGATAATAAACTGCACCTATTAAACAGACTATTTGTTATTGTTTGCTATAAAATGGCACAGAGAAAAACTTAATGTTTATCATACTTCTTCTTGTCGCTTTGAATTACGATAACACAAGAGACATCGACATTTATTCACGTTCTTGAAACAAAACAGTTTTTACATTAAACACATAGACAAACCATAACCCAATTTTTATAATTTAATTTGCTTTTTGTAGTTTATTAATTCAAGTACCAAAGGGTTGTGTGTTTTGTGAAACAATTTTGAAACAAATAACATTTTTCAATAAAATGTTTTTAAACTAAAATTTAGTCTTGCACGCCATTTCCCTGTAAAAAAGACTAATAATTTTAACTTGCACACCTTGGGGAAGTCACTTTACATATATATATTGAACAAAGAATAAACCAAATTAAAATTCTTGCCTTTATAAACAAAAAAGAGACACTTGATTAAATAATGTTTTATATAATTAGTTTTATTTAATTTAATATAAAATTTATTTTTTTGTTCATTGTATATAAAAACTATAAATAAACACTAAAATTCATTTTTATTGAGTAAATTAGTTGTCCAAAGTTAAATTTTGATTAAAAGTTGTATCGAGATGTTTATTATCAAATTCTGTTCTTTGTTCTTTTGTCAAAGATTCCAAATATTTGGAAAGTTGTTACACATGCTCAGGTTTATTCCACGTTGTGCATTTTTTTGCCATATGTCCAACAGACCCACAAATTCTACATTTTTTCTGATGATCATGAGGTTGTTGAATATTCTGTATTAATTGCTTTTTCCTTTTCATCACTTTCTCTGGATTTTCTGCAAAAAAACACCTTTTTACTAGGTTTCATTTGCGAGTTTTTGAGAATGGGTGGGTCAATTGAAAATGGTGAACCGTCATTATTTTTGATGGATTCGTGGACAGGTTGACTTAAATTGTAAATAGAAGAAATGAGGTTAATCCACTGTGATTTGTAATTGGGTGTCCGCAGAATTGTATCTATCGTCTCATCAAATGCAACAATGTGATCTTTACGTGTCCACTGAGTTACTTTTACATCCATATTCTTCTTAATGAAAATGCTTGGGTTCTGAAATACTTCCAACAAAAACATCATTTCCGAAGTCTCCAAGATCGAAAAGAGGTTCTCGAAGACCAAGAACCTTGTCGTAAAAATGTCTGTAAAGCTGGTGAATGCATGGACAAATTTAGTGTAATTTTACGAAAGCTTCACAGTGACAGTAAAATGGCGTGGAACCATCAAATGGAGACAGTGTTGTAATTAAAGAATAATTGTTAAGAAGATAAACAATCCATTCCCTTTTTATTTTAAGTAAATTTTCAATGCCGATCAATCTATTAATGTTTTGTAATTGAATATCGTTGTAAACTTGTGAAACTGTATTATTAAATTTATTAACTTTGTCGATAAATATTTGTGTAATTTCTTTTAACGAGACAATTTTTCCTTCAGTTTCCCGCTTAATAACACCAAAAACCCTCAACAACATTTGTAGTCAAATCGTGTGTTATTTTTTTCTGTGTATTCCGGTATCCAACTAAATTTTGTTTCTTCAAGTTGCTCTAAAAATTTTACCTTTTCACAACCCAAAATTTTCACTGAAGAATGCTGTGATCCGGTTTTGCAATAATCTATAAAATCGGTAAACAGATCAACGTTTTCAAGAATGTTACCTGTTTTGTTATAAATAGAGTCTTTGCAATGTGTTTTATAATTCGCTATAAATAACAAAATTGTTCTCCAGTAATATCTCGATTAATAAGCTGTTTAAACCATTTATAAACATCAGAATTTTTTCCAAATGCTGTTATAATATTTCGTCTGATATGTCTAAAACAAAATACAATTTTAACCATTGGGAATATTTTGTGTATTGCAGAAGTCTGTGCCGAGCTTCTATTGACTATAAAAGAACTTATGTTGTTGTATTGTGTTTTGAGAAAAATTAAAAAGTCTTCATAATATGATGTGAACCTGTGTCGTAAAAAACCGAATGCTATAATTTGACATTTGTTGTTTATATCTTTACAAAGAGCAGCTAAAATCGGAATTTGGAATTTATTAGTACAAAAGGTATTATCGAGAAATACACAATCTTGACACAAGTCAATTCTCAATGATTTGTTAAAGAAAAAACATTGATCGAAAACATCACACGAATTGTTGACAAATAAAGTATCGAAATTTGATATAGTTGATACATATTTCAACAATTCGTTACATTGATCCTTTGTCACAATTCCCATTATTTTCTTTCTTTCATTTTTAATAAATTGTTTTGAGTATTTATTTTTAAGTTTTTCATCTGTGACTTTTTGTGTTATATTATGTTCCATGTCGTTTGCGATAATGACCTTGGAAGTTTCAGAAATTCTATTTCTGATCATTTTGAATGGTTTTATTGTAAATGGGTGTGTGTGATCAATATACATGTGAACACTGACAACCACGTTACTGGAACAACACTCAAATGTCACAATAATTCTCGATTCACATCTAAACTGTTCTCTGTATGCACAATAATAAGTGAATTGTTTTTCTGTTTTTCCCGTATCTTTGGCGTTATAAAGCCAAAATAAGTGTTGTCAATTTGTATATGTGTCGCATCAGATATTTTAATTGTAGAATTGTCTCTTGATAAACTTTTAGACGAGTCTTCAACCCTTTTTACTACGTCACAAGGAGTTACAAAATTGGTTTTGATGTTGTTTGTGATAATCGTAAATTTGTTGAATACAGAGTCTTCTCCGAAATTTGATGTTGAAAGTAATTTTGGTTGAACAAATGAGTCGATTGGTTCTTTTAGTTTGTCAAGGAGATGTTGTCGCCACATCTCCTGATTCATTTTTTCTTCCATTTATGTTTTTAAAGAGTTCTGTAGTAAATTTTAAACCTAAGAACTGGTGAAATTTTAATTTGTTTTTTATATAGAGTAATTATAATCTTAAAATATTTGATTAATTATTGTTATCTGAATTGTTATACAAATTTAAAATGATTATTAAAACTTAATAAAACGACAGTTAGTATTGCAACATTTTTTCCTGTAATTTTGGGTTTATTATACTTAATATTTTGAAATTTATATTGTTTTGAATTGGTCACTTATTTGTTTAAAAAATGGGATATCTTAAATATACTATTTCTATTTATATTTGAGATTGCGGACGAAACACAGCACCCTGTTTACCATTATTTTTACAAAATATATATTTTTTACTATAAATACTAGCATTAAGATCTTAAGTTTCTATCTTATACACTTATGGATAATTCTAAATATATCTATTAATTATTTTATAAACTGTTTTAATTCTTTTAAAAAATGAAAAGTACAAATGAATAAAACAAGCATTGAGAGAAAAAATAACATTAAGACTTACAATTGAAAGTTTTTTATTTTTGAACTGTTTATTTTATTTTATACTATTGTGATGAATAATTTTGATTGTTTAAATGTTTGTCGTTTTATGTTATCGATGGCCATTTTTAATTGTTAAAATAAACAAAAAACTTATTATCAGTTAAAATGTTGCATCATTTGATGCAATAGTTTTTTCTTTCATATCGTTTGTTTACCATTATATTGTTGTTTATCTTATGTTTGTTTGAAACATACAATTATACTCAAGTTTAGTTACAAAAAGGATCACTGACCAAATAACGAACCTGGAAAATCGGGGAAGATATACTCAATATTTGTGTGCTTCCCCGATTTTTTATTCAATAATTGAAACTGTATTGATTTTTAAGGCTTTTTAACTGTGTACCGTTGTTGTCTCAACAAATAGGAAAATAAAAAATAAAACAAATAAAAAATAGTAAATAGTAGAAAATTGGACAAAGGGTTTTTATAAATTTTGGAAACGGTACAGAGTTTTGGAATACAGTTTATTTAATACAATATAGTATAATCCACATACTGTCAATAACAATGAATACTTTTATATATTTATAAATAATTAAGTTGTTAAACAACCTTAAAATCAACAACTTTGCATTTAAGACTTTGTTTAATCTATCAATAATTTTTATTGTTGTTATTTATATCTTTAATAAGCTTTCAAAAAAACGTGTTATATTATTGTTCAATTGTTTTCAAATATTACAACTATTTTGACGTTATTATTTTTGCTATGACACAGAAACATATTACTCCGTGATGATATCAACTAAAAATTTTAATTTACGTTTATTCGATAAACATTATAATTTTGGCGTTATTTTTATTTGATACCTTTATTATTATTTATTTATATTCTAAACAAAGCATTTCTCGTGTACACTTTATGTGACTTTTTTTAAAATGTTTATGTTGAATATTACAAAATATTTTATTTTCTGGATCACAAAATGAAACTGTAAAATGTATAAAAATATGTCGTCCCTTTAGTTTTATTCAAATGAAGTTGATCGTGCTTTTCTTGTTTAATCCATTTGACTATAATTGTTATTTTTTATTTTTTGAAGACAACATGATCAAAAACGTTTGAAGTAATTATTATTTGAAATGATTTAATGTTTTTGTTGAAAAATAACAGACATTTACAACTCAGAAATAACTCAAACTACTTTTATTAAATTATAAATTAAAAATAATTAAAAATAATTATTTGTTTTTAATGTGTCTCGAAATATATTTGAAGACAATAAATAACACTCTGAATGGTACAACGATCTCTTGGGTTTTGATTCCAACACATTTGGATCATTTCATATATCTCTTCTGGGATTTCTTCTCGTCGTTCAAGACGGTTTCCACTAACCACAAATTCTGCAATATTCCACGAAAAATGAAATCTTTTGGTATTATAAGCCTCGCTCCATCCAAAACATTCGTACATTGTTATGGAAAAGGAATACACATCGGCACTTTTTGTGTATTTTTCTTGTTTTAACACTTCAGGTGCCATATACACGGGTGTTCCAATTCCCTTTGTGAATGTCATATCTGTTATCATTGTATTTACATTTCTTGCACTTCCAAAATCGGTCAATTTTGCTATTATATTTGTGGCTGGGTCAAGTGTAAACACAAGGATGTTGTCTGGTTTAATATCTCTATGTATAATTCCATTTTCGTGTAAATAAGAAATTCCCTTTGATGAATCAAGACATATTTTTGTTTTTACTTTAATGTTTATTTCTTGTGTTTTTTTGTTGTTGTTCATCAAGTTTTGCAAACTCCCATATTCAGCAAATTGTGTGACCAGACAAATTTTATTTGGTACAAAAACTGCGCCATAAAAATAAGCGAT